CACAGGGTGGGTACGGGGTGACTATCAGCCACAGGGTGGGTACGGGGTGACTACCCTCACAGAATAATTAGATAGCCAGGATAACTGAGATAACTAGGTCAACGGGTGGTGGCAGTATTCTGGCCCCCTCTATAGCTCTCGATCCAAGGAACAGGATGAGCTCTTCCACTTACTTCAGTCCTTATTACCCCTCCTTTCCCAGGCACAGTTTGACCCCAATGGGTTTAGCGCTTCACCGTCACAGAATGGAGGGTGGATGGTTTTGGCAGAGTACAAATTGATGGGACACTTGGAGCCTCTGATACGAGGAAGGGGAGGAAAGTGGGAGCACTTGTTCTGAACTGCTGAAGTTTGTCGGAAAGGATAGTAGTAGTAACTACAATAGTAGTAGTAGTAGCTACAGTAGTATTAGTAGCCGTGGTAGTAGAAGCTGTAATAGTAACAGTAGCAATAGTAGTAATAATAGTAACAGCAACAAAAGTAGTAGTACTAGTAGTAACAATAGTAGACGTAGCAATAGCAGTAACTGCAACAAGAGGTAGTAGCAGTAATAGTAACAGTAGTAGTAGCAGTGGTAGTAGTACTGCTGCTGTTCTTGTTGCTGTCAAAACAGAGAAAGTTCATTTCCTAATAGCTAATTGCACTATAGGGTATCTATATCCCTGTGTGTGGTGGTGGTGACGTCACGAGAGTAATCACTGGAGCAATCCTATAATCTGCGCATTTGTGCACGCTCAGGATGGCCCAGTTGTTTACCAGTGTTCCCCAGTAGTTACGCTTGGCTAGGCCTGCAATACTGGGACATTCCATTTGTCACGATCAAACGATTCGCACTTGGGTAATGAATTTGCTGGCGTTTGTAGCCTACGTATTTCCTGTTGGATCTGGAGTATGTGTGTGTGCAAATGTGGACTAATTGCTCACCTGAATTTGTACTGGAGAGTGTGTTAGTTACCATTTTGTCCTAGGCACATGTCGATTAGACACTAGGCCTGTTGTATATGAGTACGAGTGTGTGAGTGTGTGTGTGTGTGTGTGTGTGTGTGTGTACTCACCTATTTGCACTCGCCTATTTGTGGTTGCAGGGGTCGATTCATAGCTCCTGGCTATGTGTGTGTGTGTGGGGGGGGGGTGTATGTACTCACCTATTTGTGGTTGCAGGGGTCGAGTCTTAGCTCCTGTGTGTGTGGGTGTGTGTGTGGGTGTGTGTGTGTGTGGGTGTGTGTGGGTGTGGGTGTGGGTGTGTGTGTGTGTGTGGGTGTGTGTGTGTGTGTGTGTGTGTGTGTGTGGGTGTGTGTGTGGGTGTGTGTGTGTGTGGGTGTGTGTGTTAGTACGTCACAAACTTGTGTGGTGGGCACCTCTAAAAATTACTTACTATGTGTTTTTTCATCACTGAAATTCATACCTTCGGCCTTCAAACTACACCAGCAGCTGAGGGAGGGTCTAGAGCGGCAGCTTAATTAAGGGACAACAAAATCGAATATTTTTGGGGCAAAAACTTATTTTTTTAGGGAAGATTCTTTGATAATCCATTGATTATTTATCTTTGAGAATGGTTAATTACCTACCGCATTACTTCTAATTTTATCTAGATTAATGCATGGGTAGATCCACTTCCATGGATTAATACGTGACAGTCATACTAATAGTTATAAATATGTGGTTGTTGAGATAAAAGCACTTTCAGAAAATACTGAAGTCATTTTTTTCTTTCCTGATAAAATATCACACCATAGGCCCATAAGAGAGGCGTTAATTTAATTAGAATTTACTATCATTCGAGTTTTCAACACATTGTAGTATTAAGGCACGTATACACCATTAAGACAATGAAAGAGACTCATTACTGGCGTTTTTTTTATTTTTTTCAAAGTATGTTTTGATTGTATCTGAATGTTTTATTCTCACTCTCGGTACTAAGTTCATGAAACTTGCATATGTTTATTAACATACTCATAACCCCCAACTCGATTGTGTGGCATGAGCTGGGGAGGTGATGAAATATTGCTACAACTCCCCCTGTTTAAGTACCTCCTCCGGGGAGGGAGCAGCACGAGACCATGGGAATAGTTGAACAGGTAACTACTTGTCATGTATGTATAATATTCGCCAGGACAAGTGTCCTGACACGGGTTTTAATCTTTCGATGACCTGTGTGCTTCAACTCCTTGTCACCTGCTCTCTTGACTGTATAAACCATGCACTCTATAAACTTGATAAAAGATTCCACTTGAAAGTTATAATGGTGAAGCAGCCGACACCTTCAGCACCTGACTTAACAACCCTGATGAAGTGAGCTCAATTATGGTTCATTAGTTTCCTGTCCTCCAGAATTTTACTTCAAATCTAGCGTGTTGAAGATATCATTGTTGATATCTTCAACACGCTATCTATCTCCACTCCTCCATCTTTCTCCATTATTCCACTCGCCAGTATTCCCTCTCCTTCCTACCCATAACCAAGTCATTTATAATGGGAAGGTCTGAGCCAGCTCATCCTCTTAAGAGGCCACAGACAATGTGGTGACCAAGCAGTATCGATCACGTATCTTGGAAGCCTCGCATAACTGTCCCCACCATGGGCAAGCGCTGACCCTGTAAGGCAGTGGTTCCCAAACTGGGGGTAAATTACCCCCTGGGGGTAATTTAACCATTTTTGGGGGGTAATGGAGGGGTGACAGAAAAAAAGTTATGAATTCTGAAAATCAAGAAAACAATGCGGTACCCGGTATGAGGATTATTGTTAACTTTGTCTTAGTATATAAAGTTGTAAAGTAAACCTATTATAAGTAAGTAATAAAGTTAAACCAAATAAAAATAAACATCAAAAACTAATATACAGTATTAGAAAAGAAGAAATATATAGCTAAGTGTGTGGAAACCCAAAAGTATTTTGACAAGTATGCTTCAGGACAAAAGTCACTCAGTAGCCCAGATCGACCTGTCCAGTACGCGTCACTCACTTCCTGAGGCTGCCTCTATTTCACACTGTCAGTTTATCTGTGAGCATCAGCCGAGGTAGACATAAGCTGGTATGTATGTGTACTGCCCTGTGCAGTATATAGTTAGTATTTACCCACTGTTACTGTGAATTTGTAGCTATTATTAATTATATATATAATGTATGTGTGGTTCTTAGGTTTTCAATGGTTTTGCTAGGATTAGCAGAGTATGCGAGGCTGTATACGTTCACGTTTAGCCATATATATCAATAATAACAACATTTTGTGAAAGGGATAACATGCTTTATGTGGCATGTTAAATTGGGTAACAAGCTGAAAAAGTTTGGGAACCACTGCTGTAAGGTTTATACAGCGCCTAAGGAACGGAAGATCATTCTAATCCTACTGGTCCATGCTAGGCAGACACTTTTCATACCCAATCCTCCTCCTCTGTCCAATAAAATTTTTTGAAGCTACCCAAAGTTTCATTGGCTCTATTTGATGAATAAATTTTGATTTAGAAAGAATAATCTAACTTTAGTCTTTCATTTTTATTTATTTCATGGTTAGATATCCTCCCTTCTCTATTTAAATCTTCCTAATTTACCATATACCTGTCTTCCACTTATATATCTCAGTAGTGTCTCCTCGTTGCCCCACTTGTTTCACCAGAGTGCAAGTCCTTACTCACTGGACTAACTTTGTCATTCTTTGTATGTTCTCCACTACATTTATGTCCATTCTGTTAGGTAAAAGGACACAAGTGCAACTAATACGACATTTTACTGTGGCAACGTTTCTCTCTCCAGCCTGACGAAACCACAATAAAATGTCACATTAGTTGCACTTGGGTTCTTTTATCTAACATATTGTCGGTAATTACCATCATTATTACTATATTACTCCTCTCTCCGATGTGCGAGTTATTTGTGTATTGTTCCAGTCACGGTATTGTGCCTTAATTTATTATTTGTCTTTTCTATTCTTTCGGCTACATCCATTCTGTAGAGACCAGAGCTACACTAGAATATTACCTAGAATACTCAAGTCTCCTATTCTGTTTCATTTGTTCGAAAACGTTAAATACCCAGCAGTAACAGCCTTGTTGATCAGACCCTGATCCACCACGAGGCCTGGTCTCAGAGCCACGGGGGGCGTTGACCCCCCGAAATCCTCTCCTGATATAACCATATTTATACGCACTGAAGCTCTTAAATAACGTAATAACAATAGTTCTGCTGACAAAGCTTATTTGTAGTGACCACAAACTCTAGTCCATTTAACTTTATTAACCCCAAAAAAATGGTTGAAAGATTGAGAGATTAGAAAATTGGTCGAGTAGTTCCTGGAGTTGAAAATTTATCAGCTACACGAAGAATCTTCCTGAGAGAGACGCAGCCTCTTGACTACCAGTCAAAAATACATTCAAATCTAAAATGGCGATTACAGTAGCAATAATGGTAGAATTACCGACAAAATGTTAGGTAAATGGACACAGATGCTTCTACTGTGACATTGTGACAACGTTTCGCTCTACGGCTTGACAGAGCTGTAGAGTGAAACGTTGCCACAATAAAATGGCACATTAGTTGCATCTGTGTTCATGTATCTAACAAGGATTACCGAAAATTCTCAGTGTATATACTACGAGGTGTTCAATTTTGTATATAAAGCCTCGTGCAAATGTAGTGATTTCTAATTAATCTATATAACTTTATAGAAAATTATCATACATAATTGCATTCAGTAAAATAATTTAAATGTATGGAATTAAATTATTTGATATAAATGTATTTTTTATTGATTTGCAGGAAAATGCGACCTAAAATTTCACTGATAGGAAAAAATGAATATACACAGTACCGACGAGTTGATAATTAAGACACATGTGTAACATGTATCTTTATTTCGAAACGTTTCGCCTACACAGCAGGCTTCTTCGGTCGAGTACCGAGGTATATGCTGCTGCCTCTGTACTCGACTGAAAAAAACTGCTGTGTAGGCGAAACGTCGAGGAATAACAATACCTAACTGTTGCACATGTACTTATTTGTGGTTGCAGGGGTCGATTCGTAGCTCCTGGCCCCCGCCTCTTCGCTGGTCGTTACTAAGTTCACTCTCCCCGCTCCAAGAGCTTGATCGTACCTCTTCTTATCAGGAAAAATGAAAGGTAATTTGTTTTTCACAGGCAGAGAGCCAACAGGCTGTGGAGGTGACCACTTGCCAGTTGCTGCCAACCATCATCACCCAGACCATCATCATCATGGACCATCATCATGGACCATCATCATCATGGACCATCATCATCATGGACCATCATCATCATGGACCATCATCATGGACCATCATCATCATGGACCATCATCATCATGGACCATCATCACCCTGACCATCATCATGGACCATCATCATCATGGACCATCATCATCATGGACCATCATCATCATGGACCATCATCGTCATGGACCATCATCGTCATGGACCATCATCATGGACCATCATCGTCATGGACCATCATCATCATGGACCATCATCGTCATGGACCATCATCGTCATGGACCATCATCACCCTGACCATCATCATGGACCATCATTATCATGGACCATCATCATCATGGACCATCATCATCATGGACCATCATCGTCATGGACCATCATCATCATGGACCATCATCATCATGGACCATCATCACCCTGACCATCATCATGGACCATCATCATGGACCATCATCATCATGGACCATCATCATCATGGACCATCATCATGGACCATCACCCTGACCATTATCATCATGGACCATCGTCACCCTGACCATCATCATGGACCATCATCATCATGGACCATCACCCTGACCATCATCATCATGGACCACATCATGGACCATCATCACCCTGACCATCATCATGGACCATTATCATGGTTCATCATGGACCATCATCATCATGGACCATCATCATCATGGACCATCATCTCATCACTTAATATAACCTAATATTACCTTATATTGCGGTCTACGGCTACAATATTAATCCTATAATATAATATAATCTACTAACAATTTAAACTACCTAAGATCTCCTTAATTAAGGTGTAAATATATCATTTTGTATCTCAATCTTCAGTAGTTATCTAGTGTCTTGTTTGGGTGTATCAACTTGTTTGCAAATAAATCCGATGGTGAAACTTTTTGGTCTCATTAAATTTCCACAGAGGTCCGTGGTTCGATCCCCGGTACGGGTGGAACATTAGGAGGTGTTTCCTTAAGACACGTGTCCTTGTTCACTTATCAGTAAAATAGGTACCTGGGTATTAGTCGACTGGTGTGGGTCGCATCCTGAGACAAAATTTACCTAATTTGCTTGAAATGCTCTGCATATCAAGGGTCTTTCTATATAGTATGTCAGTGATGTCACCTACGACTGTATACCTTGTACTACATGTACTTGTAGAAATAGAAACAAGCACAGTGTGTACCTACTGGGGCTCGCAGACCCTATGTCTAGCTCTCATTTATTGTCATATTGATTACGCTTGCTCTTCTTGGTACTCTGCCTTAACAAAAAAAAAAAAAAGAAAAAAAAAAAAGAAAGACTACAAATCACCCAGAAGAAAATGTTAAGATTCATGCTGGACCTGGGTCCAAGAGAACACTTAGGTCAGGATGAATTACAACAACGTTTATAAAATTGCTCACAGCTAGTGTCCAGAATATCTTGCTGCCAATTTTGCTAAGGTTGGGAACCAAAGGAGTTATGGTACTTAGGGAAGGGAGGACATCTTTGAGTGCCCACAGTCAGTCAGGCTTCAAGTACATTGTACAGCAATAAAGAGGTGGAAAAGACTACCTGCACATGTCAAAGCCTGTCATGAGCAAGTTCAAGAAGAGAGCCGAGAGGTACCTAATGAATGTAGCTACAGAAAGAGAAGAGAGTGATTTCTTGTATATCTAACATACATGTAGTAATGTAATTTGATCCTATCTTTAATATTTATGTGGATAACTGAATTTCCCTTATCCCTATTGTATCTCCTTTTATTGTAACTACTTTTCACATAGTTAAATTACCAGCTTTAACATTAAAGTATTACAAGGACCCCAATGGAAATAAGTCACTTTGTCTGACTTTTTGGGGTTATCCTAGGTAATGTACACATATGCTGCTATGTATGATAATTTATGTAACTTTATTTGTGTGTACCTGAATAAAAACTTAATTGCAGAGCTGTATATTAGAGAGTCAGAGATGTCCAGCAGAACTCTGGTGGTGGTGGCCCTTAACACCTAACAACAACCATTTAAAAGTGCCTTATTGTCCGTGAGGGGTTCTTGATCCAAGGAACTGGACTTGTCCTTCCCTTTCCTTGGACCAAGCATGAATGCTTACCAGTCCCAAGACGCTGTATGGGCTCTTCTACTCTAGTGCTTCCTCCTGATTAAAATAAGACGCCATGGCTCCCCAGTAAGTTCTAATGCTCGGGTATTTTATGTAATTTGAAACTTGGAATGGTTTTATATAGTAATTTATGTATAATTAAAGTCAGGATCTCACTACAATAACATTTATTAAGACGCACATCACTAAGTTGAGTCTGTACTATTGTATTACCACTATTATATGTATTAATGTATCAAATTAATGCATTATATTTGTTAACGTACTATATTCATGTATGTATTACCTCTATATGATTTTGAGTTGAAGATGTTAAGAAATAAGACTGAAGGAGCACTGCAGTAGGCCTACTGGCCCATGCTGGGCAGGTTCAACTCACCCACTCATTTACCCATCCAACCTATATTTAAAGCTACTCAAAAGTCTTGCCTTAGTGAGGCTACCTGGAAGTTTGTTTTACTCATCTACAACTCCATTGCCAAACCAGAGGACATTCCCTCGATTGCCTAAAATCTTAACTAGACACCAATATGTACACGCAAATGGAGTTATCTCCACTATCCAGCCTGTAGCTGTTGGAGTGCCCCAGGGTAGTGGCCTAGGCCCACTCCTCTTTCTCATAAGAACATAAGAACATAAGAACGAAGGAACACTGCAGAAGGCCTACTGGCCCATGCGAGGCAGGTCCAAGTCTCCTACCGGCTTAAGCCAAAGCACCCAACCTAGACAGGTCAGGTCACATTGACTTAAGGGAGGAACACGGCAACCGACCTGTTAGCACAAGCTATCAGGTCTAACTCACACCCACCCACATCTACTCATGTATTTATCCAACCTATTTTTAAAGCTACACAACGTTCTGGCCTCTAAAACGGTACTTGGGAGTTTGTTCCACTCATCCACAACTCTATTACCAAACCAGTACTTTCCTATATCCTTCCTGAATCTGAATTTTTCCAACTTAAAACCATTGCTGCGAGTCCTGTCTAGGCTAGATATTTTCAGCACACTATTTACATCCCCTTTATTTATTCCTGTCTTCCACTTATACACCTCAATCATATCCCCCCTAATTCTACGTCTTTCTAGAGAGTGCAGTTTCAGGGCCCTTAGTCTATCCTCATAGGGAAGGTTTCTGATACATGGGATCATCTTTGTCATCCTCCTTTGTACATTTTCCAGAGAATTTATATCCATTCTGTAATACGGTGACCAAAACTGTGCAGCATAATCTAAATGAGGCCTAACCAAGGATGTATAGAGTTGAAGAACAACCTGAGGACTCCTATTATTTATGCTTCTTGATATGAAGCCAAGGATTCTATTAGCTTTATTGCGAACACTTATGCAGACAACACTACTTATATCTACTCCCACTCAAAGCCAGCTATACTTAGAAACACTGTAAAGAACGAGCTGCTTAAAATATATACTTGGATGATTACCAACAAACTCACTCTCAACATAGACAAAACATACTTCATGCTGTTTGGAGACATAGCCTTAAATATCTAACTTAATATATCAATCAATGGTTTCCCCATTACAAGACACACTGAGGGTAAATTTCTAGGTCTTCTCCTTGACTGTAATCTTAAATTTCATTCCCACATCCAGCATATATCCAAGAAAATTTCCAAATCAGTAAGCATCCTTTCCAAGATACGGTACTATGTAACCGAAATGACACTCCTTACCCTATAACACTCTCTAATATATCCCTACCTCACCTATGGCATTTGTGCCTTGGGATCAACCACAGCCAACCACCTCAAACCCGTAATAACCCAACAAGAAGCTGCTGTACGGATGATTACCAACTCCTGTGCTAGACAGTACACCCCACCACTTTTCAAAAGCTAGAATCTAGTAAATATATGGGACACTCACTCATATTATTGTGCCTACTAAATATACAGAACATTAAACTCCAATATCAGCCCTCCACTTAAACTTCTCCTTGATAGCTACAACAGAACGCACAGTCACAATACAAGACACAAGGCACTCTTTGACATTCCTCATGTCAATCTCGCACTGTGCAGAAATGCAATGCACATAAAGGGCTCGAAGATCTGGAATTCACTACCTGAACTGGTGAAGGATCCCCTGACTACATACAAATTTAGGGCTATGCTTAAAAATCATCTTATCTCTCAATACTAACCAAACCAACCAAAACAACTTCTAATTAGTTTGAAGCAACTCTCCCAAATATATTATATAACCTCTAGTCTATTAAAACACCTGCCAATCCATAAAATATTACTATTTGTAACCATTAATTGTAATGTTGCTTTCATTATGTGCAACTTTAAGATACAGTAATTATTCTTATAAACCTCCACCTTCACTACCTCGCATTAGTATTAAGATAAAATAAAGATTTATTAAAAAGTTAACCAATCTTATCTTGTCTAGATTTAACTAATTATTTTGTACTAGGATTAGTCTGCCCAAAATGCCCCAGCATGATAGTGGCTTTCTTTGTACAGTCACTGTACATGTACTTAACAAATCAAAATTGTAATTAAACATTGTAACCTTTGCAAAGAAATAAAATCTTTGTTCTTTATGTATTCTTTTAACCAGTACTTTCCAATATCCTTTCTAAATTTAAATTTCTCATACTTGAATCCATTGCTGTGAGTCCTGTCTTGGTTAGATATTTTCAACATGCTATTTATATCCCCTTTATTTGTTCCTGTTTTCCATTTGTGCACTTCAATAGAAATAAATCAATTTGACTTTCTTGGGTTATCCTAGGTAATTTACACTGTATAATTGTACTTGTGTGTACAGGTGCCTAAATAAACTTGCTCCCCAAATTCTATGCTCTTCCAAAGAGTGCAGGTTAAGTGCCTTCATCTTATATTTATAGGAAAGATTTCTAATTAATAGAGTCAGTTTCATCATCCTTCTCTGTATATTTTCAAGTGCATTTATATCCATCCTGTAATATGAAGATTAGAAACTAAGTAGCATAATCTAAAGGAGGCCTTACCAAAGATACATAATGTTGAAGCCAAGAATTCTCTCAGTTTGCCCAAAATGCTTTGCATACTAGTGGCCTTTTGTGCCTAACAATATTTTATTGCAAGTAAATTGCACTATCTGTGTAGTGCATAAAAATTTGAATTTGAATTAGCTTTATTGCTAACACCTGTGCATTGTTGTAGTACATGTATTGGCATTAAATTCCTGCCACCCAGAACACTTAAATCCTCTTTGCATTGACTTTGACAGAGGCTACATCGTTTATCTCATAAGTGCCATAGTTATTTCCTTTTCCTAGGATTAAATCTTAGACTGGTCAGTAAAAATTGCATTTATCACTCCTCTGACCACATCATCAGCCTATCTAGGTCATTCTGTAGCCTTTCAGTGTCCACATCAGAAATTATTTGATGGCCTATTTTAGTGTCATTGGCAAACTTATGTTGCTAGATATTCCCTCATCAATTTTGTTTGTAGATTGTTTCCACTTGTAACAGGTCCCCATTCTGATTTCTCTCCATTAATGCAAACTCTGTTACCTATTGGTCAGCCATACCTCATCCCAGGAGATAATTTACCCCCCCCCCCTATATCATGTGCCACTACTTTCTTAATGAGTCTATGTAATCAGTCTCTGAGTGAAATCTGTATACACGATATTGTACTTTTTATCTTGGTCTAGTGCCTTGAATACCTTAGTGAAGAGGTTAGTAATGCAGGAATGCTCCTTGGTAAAACCATGCCGAGATTCATAGGTAATATCACATCTTTCAATGTGGCTTTGAATTTCATCAACAGTTACTGATACCATCATCTTTCCCACAATTGAGGTCTCGTGTTTTGTAAATGGGTATCACATTTGGTATTTTCCACTTACATGGTGCAATACTGGCTTGAAGAGACTAGGTAATGGTTTGCTAAGTTCCTCCTTACATTCTTTTAGAACCATTGAAAACAGATCAGGGCCTGGTGACTTGTTTGACTTCAATCTATCTAGTTGTCTGAGGACCATGTCACTAGCAAAATAACAAGTACAGTGGACCCCCGGTTAACGATATTTTTTCACTCCAGAAGTATGTTCAGGTGCCAGTACTGACCGAATTTGTTCCCATAAGAAATATTGTGAAGTAGATTAGTCCATTTCAGACCCCCAAACATACACGTACAAATGCACTTACATAAATACACTTACATAATTGGTCGCATTCGGAGGTAATCGTTATGCGGGGGTCCACTGTATCTCCTAACCCAGAACCATGTGACCCGCCTCAACACCTAGTGACAACTCGTGTGTACAGTCCTTATGAAGACCTCATCTCACGTTTTCCTACATTTAAACTCAGTGTCATTTTCACTACATCTCAGGTTACACAGCCCTCCTAGTTCCACTGCAACCTCAAAGGCTTTAAAAATTCCCCACCCACCTCGAGCCCTTACTTTCACACCACCTTTCCTACACATTTTTGTTTCAGATGGACTGCTCAGGGCTCTGGTACCTTCTGTATCTAGGAATGTTGCAGAAATACATGTACAGTAGCACTCCTCTCCTACCCTCCCCAGATGCAATGAGTCAGTCTAGCACTTTCCAACTTCTATATACCTTGAGACATCAGATTCCTCACAGTTCCCTCTTTCCCTAGCAATTACCAGTGTATTTACAGCACTTCTGTTACTGCCTCCTCATCTTTCACTCCACGTATCACACTGTCCTAAACTTCAGGAGTAAACTTATTTTAAACCCTCAATATACAGGGTTAATAGGGGATGTCCATTATATTGGAATGATAAAAAAAGTAAAAAAAAAAAAGTGCACTTTAGTACTGTACTGTTATCTGTTATTGGTTGATAAATATGCATTGAATAGAAACAAGTATGATAACTTTTTATAGAATGTTGTGCATTGTTTCACCATGTTGTACAGTTTTGGAAGTTTCAGATGCCTGCTGTCCCTTATAACCTGGCAGTAATTAGGTATCTGGGTGTTAGCCGACTGATGTGGGTCATATCTTGGGGACAGAATGAGCCTAAATTGCCCGAAATGCTCTCCATAACCATATTATTATTGTTATTATTAGTTGCTGTGAAAAGATGAGTTTGTAATTGTTTGATTTTCTCATTCTAGGGACCCCCCACCTGCTGATCAGCAAATAACCATAGAAACCTCAAGGAAACAAGAGTTGAAACGTGAACAGCGTCTGCAACGTGCACAACGCCTTAAGAATCTCTTTACACTTGCACACCTGCAGCATGAGGAATACAGGAGGCAGCACGAGGGGAAGCTGAAGCAAATCCCACCGGGGACAGATCCTGATCTACTGGAGCTACTGAAGCATCTGTGTCCTCCTTTTGAAGAACTAATTTTAGATAACCAGATGAAACTGCTGAATAGGCAGGTACAGCAGGTCCCAGACTCACTTTAGAACCAGATATTGTATTTTGATTTATTGATAATTAGAAATATAGCATTTACATCACCAGTCCTACATTTGGATTTAGACACATGACACTTATAAAACATGATAAGCCAGACATTAAAGATGAAATTTTCAGCATGATGGTTGATGCTGCTGCTTTTTGATCAGTTTAGAGATCTAAGCCTCTATTGCAGCATTCATTTCAGTGCTCTAGATCAGGGAAGCATCCACTGGTGGGCTTTCTATGAAAGTGTTGAATAATATGAGCAAATGAACACTTTTCCTTGGTCACCTCAAGCAATATTGTCAATTCTGATAATGGTCACAGCATCAGTCTCTGTTGGTAAATCTTCAGCTTGCAAAGGAAGCTGGTATCCTGGTCTTGAGCTATGAGAATATTCACAATACATGTATATCCTTGTAGTCAGAGGTTTAGGTGATTGATCTTGGGGGGAAAAAAAATTGCAAAATAGGCCAGCTTTAGAATGAATGTATGACCTGTTAATTTTAAACAAAATTCTTTCTCCTTAGCAGTTCTCCCCCTTTCCAGGAACATAATGATTTCTTCTATTGGTTCCAACACACGGTGTAAAACTTAAAACCATGATAACTAGTGAATCTCTGTAGGAAGTAGAGTATGCCGAATTTGGTTCCACCCTCTTTACACAATACAAGAAGGCCTCACTTTACAGCATTTCACTAATGCAACAGTTTTCAATAATACCTATTCTTCAGTTATTCAGACTTCCTGCACTAAATATATTTACCACTCACTATATGTGCTTACTGTGTATACATTTTTTTAGGCCTAACTATTCCTCACATAATATATGATAGTGTAAACGTTATCAGGCTTTTACAAGCATTTGAAAGTGAAAAAAAGTTATGTTTTGCCTTATAGTGGTAGCCTGGAACTTACTTGCTGCATAAGCAGGGCCCTCCTGTACTTTGAAAATTCTTGAGTTTGTGGCTCTGCCTCAAATCTGATTAACATTTTTAACAACCTCAGAGAATACATTGATGAGATTTGGTAGGGTGTGTCTCATGAGCATGATAAAGCATGCAGTGGGCTAATGTGGCATGGGAGGACCTGCTTCACAGACGCACGAAACCCAGAATGAATATCCATCATCAACAGGGGCCCCATCAGGGTGCATGTTGGCTTGCTTCACCCAGGATTGAACATCTCTCCAGAATCATGCCAGATATTGCTTTGGTTGAAATTACAACCTGTTTACTTAAAACAGGCACAGGAATGTTTGTAATGTTGAACAATGCACTCAGAGGTTGGCTGTGGTAACAGGGGTAGGGGAGATTATTCCTAGCTAGTTTGTTTATACCCGGTACAGGAGGGCCCCGCTTATACAGCAGATTAGGTTCTGGGTTACCACTGCAAAGCCAAAATGTAAATAAAGACCTGATAACATGTTCACACTATCATATGTTAAATGAGCAATAGAGCTAGGCCTAAAAAATACATATACATGTACAGTATATGCATTACTTACCTTAAAATATTTTTGTACTTATAGTGAGTGGTGAATTTATTTATTGTAGAAAGTCTGAATAAATGAAGACTGGGTATAATTGAAAACCACTGTATTAGTGAAGTGCTGTAAAGCAATGTTCTGTAAAGGGCGACCCTCCTGTAATCCCAGTTACTCTATAGTGATTTGAGTTTTTTCATGGTAACCTTTCATTTAGTTTTAACTATGTTGTATAGTCCCTTGAGCATTTTGTTAAATTGTTGTTCTCCTATGTGATGTTAGAGTATATTTTATGCATTCACAATAAAGTTCAGTAAACTCATTTTGAATTCTGGATTACATTTTCTGTAATTCTGATGGCACAGGGATAGCAAGTTGGTTGGCAGCTTAGCAGCTTGGGTCTACAAAATTCCTCATTTCATTTTGGTACTGAAAATTTTCACTTAAAATTTTACAGCCTTTTTTATGTTGTGTTACTGTAATGATTTTCTTTGAATTATACTCATCAACAAAATACTTTCTCATAATTACAATTCCTTAGATTTTACAGCAATTATTGTACCAGTTCTTTTTCTTTGCAGGTTGTTAGATGTGAATATTATCTGCTTGAGCCAGGTTCAAAAGTCATCTACAGTGAACATCCTGGTCAAGACATCTTTCAGGTAGTGCTAGAAAGACCGGCTAATATGAAACCATATATTAATCATGTTCGTTCTAATCCAGGACCACCATATAAATCCATATTCTCTCCCGGAGTTCCTTACGCTTTAAATGTTAAAGCTCCCCAACACTTGGTGGAGAAATGTTCCTTACCCCTTGCCACTTTAGATGTAAGGGGTATCGCCAAAAAGAGATCACTTCTAAAACTAGTTGAGGAGAGAAACAAAGGTGTCACTTTGTCTTTGTTGAATGACTTGCAGGTTAACGAATCACCACCTGGCAAAAGTGTCACTTCCTCTTCAGTTGTACTTAATTGTCAGCATGGCAAACCATTAGCAGATAAATCTGCTGGAGGTGATTGTGCATCAGGAAATTGCTTATCTTGTGATGCATGTGATCCTTTCTTTATAAAGAAAAGAAAAAGAAAAAGAAAGAGGAAAAATAAGAATGGGCAGCTCTCTACATTGAAGCAGCCAGAGTTCAGTGGCGGGAGAGAATTATCTAATAATAGAGAATCAAAAGATTTGAAAGGAAAGAACAAGAGTACAAAAAATGTTGTGTTACCACCTATCACTCCTCCTCCTCCTAAATCTCCACCCTTATTAATTGATTTAACTGGTTTTTCGCCTAAATCTCCTCCTGTATTGATTAATTTATCTGATTTATCATCTCTCGACTCTCCTTTTTTGTTAGCTACCACAAGTAAAGAGACCCCCATGGCAACTACTAGTAAAGCCAGTTCAGAGAACAGGACACATTTGGAAAATCTTAATGATATTGAAAAAGGGTCTAATCAGATAACAGAGTTCCAAACACAGACAAGCACTTTAAAAAGGGGCTTCCCATTCAGAAAATCTGAATGCAATGCTAGCAAGAAGGCTCGACTCAACATAGAGAGTACATCATCATTTTCCCTGCAAGACATTTCTTCATGCTCAGAAGCTAAAGAGTTTTCACCTTTTAGAACACCAGCCAAAGCAAGTTTAAAGGTTAGTTTTCAATTTGGTTTGACTTTTAAGTACTGTAGAGAATAACTATAGTTTTACATACAGAAAATAATAATAAATATATATAAAGCACTAATGAAATGGATAAATGAACATTTAACATCACTTTATTGAAGACTCTTGTTGGCGTATATAAGACGGTGAGGAGGCGAGAGGGAGGAGAGGTTATCTCTACCACCATCACTACCACCCTACACCACAGTCACTATCACCCTCTACCACCATCATAATCACTACCACCCTCTACCACCATCACTACCACCCTCTACCACCGTCACTACCACCCTCTACCACCATCACTACCACCCTCTACCACCCTCTACCACCGTCACTACCACCCTCTACCACCATCACTACCACCCTCTACCACCATCACTACCACCCTCTACCACCATCACTACCCCTACCACCCTCTACCACCATCACTACCCCTACCACCCTCTACCACCATCACTACCCCTACCACCCTCTTCCACCATCACTACCACCCTTTACCACCATCACTACCACCCTCTACCTTTGTAGAGGGTGGTAGTGATATTTCTCCACAAAACTTTGCAACTCATTCCACTTTCATACTTTGCTACGAGTTCTTTCTCGAATCTTCTTTATCAAAGGGTTGGCACTCTGAACATTTTTTGGCCCCATGGTGGCTTATTTAGCAGTCGCACTCAATAAACAAGCACAAAAAACAATGGATTATTACAAAATGTTTCGTATGAATGCGCTGAGTAATGTTCACTCGACAAGAAAGAAAGCCAGACTGACTTAGAATGTGTGCGTGGGATGCTTTGTGTGGGCGCGGGCAGACGGAAACATTCTGTACATTTGACAAAAACGAAGGTGATGAAGGAAACTGGAACAATATTTTGACGAACATATTCGTCGAAAACTGAACTCGACGAAAACCAGGGCAAATAAAAACAGAGGTTTCACTGTATATACAGTGTTTAAAAAATACTTTTCTAGTTAGTCTTTTAAAGTTTGTACAGTATTGTGTACAGAACATTATTTTTGTCTACAACTGCAATTATTTGTTCTCTCAAAGTATTAATAAATCTATTTTATTTTTTATGACTAACTCGTATCAACCAACATAATCCATCTTTATTACAGGTGTAGGCATGAACACATCTTGGTTTTTTTACACTGTAAATATTTAAGTTTCCTACAATAAATGCTTTATATGACAACCACTTCCTATTGCAATAGCCTCTTATATTGATTTTTAAAATAAATCTTTTCTAAATTTTCTTCATTTCAGTGAGCAACTATAGTAAATGCATTTAAAATTATCACCTTTTTTTTAAGAAAACTTCATACATAAAACACCTGTATTTACAAATGTTTTAGTAACTGATATGGGAAAAATGTTTATACATACTCTTGTACCCACATACATGCTAAGCATTTTTGGAAACTCAGTCTAAAGGAGTGTAACATGACTAGTTCAAGAGCTTAGGTATTGAGCTCTGAGGAGAGACCAAAGAAACTAAACCTGATAATCTTAGAAGAGAAAGGGACTAGGGGAGATACAGTGGACCCTCGACCAACGATGGCATCAACTAACGATGCCATTAACTAACGATAAAATCAGGCAATGATGCGTTTTTTGCATAAAAATATTGGCTCGACCAACGATGAAAAACTCGGGTAAGGACATTCGTCCCGAACGTGTCCATCTGTCCATCCAGCCTGAGCACCTCAGCTGCCCTGCTTCTGCTAGTGTGCCATTGTTTACAAGCCAGGGTGGATGGTTTCATACATACATGTGATATAATTTGTATTATTCCATTGTTTTTAGTGCTTGTAGCTGCTAAATAAGCTACCATGGACCCAAAGAAAGCTTCTATTGCCAACCCTGTGGTAAAAAGGGTGAGAAATACTATTGAAATACATACTATTGTACCACGGTCAGCTGTTGCTGTACCATGGTCAGCTGCTGCTGTTGCTGCACCACCGTCAACTGCTGCTGTACCACCGTCAGCTGCTGCTGCACCACTGTCAGCTGTACTACTTGAAGGTGTGGCTTAATGAGAAACAATTACCGAGAAACAATTAACCCCAGAGGGTTAGTCACCCAGGATAACCCAAGAAAGTCTGTGCATCATTTAGGACTGTAACTTATGTCCATTGGGGTCCTTAATCTTGTACCCCAGGATGCGACCCACACCAGTCGTCTAACACCCAGGTGAACAGGAAAAAATGCCTGGAACTAGTGCTCATATTGGTGAATTGAAGGCCAGCAAAGGTTGGTTTGAGAGATTTAAGAATCATAGTGGCATACACAGTGTGATAAGGCATGGCGAAGCTGAAAAATTCCAACCCCAACAAGTGTTCAGTTTTGATGAAACAGGCCTGTTCTGGAAGAAAATGCCAAACTGGACCTACATTACTCAGGAGGAAAAGGCATTCCCAGGATACAGGCCTATGAAAGACAGGCTAACTCTCGTGTTTTGTTGCAATGCTAGTGGGGATTGCAAAGTGAAGCCTTTACTCATGTATCACTGAAAACCCCAGAGTATTCAAGAAAAAGTGTCTCATCACTCATCAATACTCTTCAATAAAGGTAAGTGTCATTTTAGTATTTATTTGTGTATTTGTTGTGCATGTCTCATTGTTTTCTTTGTAGGGAAATGTATATTTCATGTAAAAAAATTTATTTTTTTTAAATACTTTTGGCTGTGTGGAACGGATTAATTGGATTTCCATTATTTCTTACGGGGAAAATTAATTCGGCTAACGATAAATTCAGCTAAGGACAAGCTCTCTAGAATGGATTAAAATCGTTGGTCAAGGGTCCACTGTATGATTATGACATACAGTACAGTAATACTACTCTTTTTGACATGTGCTTATGGTTAGATTTGTTCTGCACTTAGAAAGCAGATGTGTGCTTTTGATAATTTTTACACACTTGGTTTTTTACTGTCTGCTGATGTGAACTCTTTGCAGGTATAAATGTAATTTCAGTTTGAATCAGTATTATATACAAAGGCTGGCTGGCATTGCTGGTGAAGCAGAAGCATTGGTGCAGAGCAAGCTATTGGTGAGACAATGTTTTCCTCTTTGTACAGCTTAATGACCTGATAATCCCCATAGAGCAAAACATTGTTATCATAAAAGCTTGTTCCATACTGGTGTTTTCTCTTGAACTAATATTAGGGAAGGAAAAGAATCAAGTTAACAGAGTTTTTCTTGCAGAGACAAAAAGAAAATGACTCGGCAACTAAAGAAAAAGCAAATGAAGAAGTAAATAGAACGGAGCATCAGATTGTTAATTCAGAGCTTCGAGAAGACAATCAGTACAACTCTAATACACCCATACAACAAGAGCATGTGGAAGAGTTGTCAAAATGTATGCCTGACGATAATGAAGTCATTCATCAACTGAAGAACCCAAAATCAAGATCTGTAATTGCAGAACTAACTCAAAAAGAAGAAGTAAACTTCAGAAATACCCCAGTGTCACAAGCTATTGAAACATCAGTAAGATACGATCCAGGTGGGCAAAACATTTCTCCATCAGACTCTCCTCGAAGTTCATCTGCCAGTACTGAAATACTGGAGGCTGCAGGGAAGGAATGTCTTGAAGAGATTGTGTCTGTGAGTATTATATAATATGTATCTAATAAATTGTGTTATTCCTTTCCAGCGGGTGTCTTGATGCTGGTGAAGGGCTCTTGGTCCAAGGAGTTGGATGTGTTGCCCCCTCCTTGGATTGAACCTAAGTGTCTTCCATACCCCAAGTGGTGTATGACCACTCTAGATTTGTGCATTCCCTTGATTAAAATTAAGTTAAATATACATGTATTGCTTTCCAAAGGGTGTCTTGATACTGGTGAAGGGCTCTTATTCCATGGAGTTACAGCTGTCTTTCTCTTTTCAGATCTAGCACACTTCTCATTCTCTAGGCAATGTATGATACTAATTGGTTCAGTATTTCTCTATTAAAATAATACGCTATTGTTACTACCCTTCAAGGCAGAAAAAATTCATTGATTCTGATAAAGGGCTCTTTATCCAAAGAATTGGAGGTATCCTCCTCTTCCATGGTTCAGATTTAATTACCTCAGTGTCCTCAGGCACAGTGTGACCCCTATTTGCTTCGCTCTTCCCTGTAAAAGTACTGCAACAATAATAATGTAGTATTAGCATGTTCTGCAGTCAGCATCATTACTACAAATTGGATTTAATTATTGAAGTTCATTTAAAGTGATCTTGTAAGCTTTTACTGATGCATATATGTACTCAATGCTGAAGTATTTGTTAAAATGTTTGTTGGTTTTTAGTATTGTACATGAAGTAGTTTCCTATTGTTTGATCTGAAAAATAGTTATTGCAGAATTATATATGTGCATTATGAGTCATATTTAAAATACCCTGTACTGAATTTTTATTAAAAAAAGCTGATTTACTTTTCTTTGGGGGGTAGCTTTTTTTATGGTAGGGGAGGTGAAGAATGAATGCTAGCTTCTTAGAAGTCTTGGGCCTTTCTGGTTGCAACTCCTTGCCACTGTACTGCAGCTGCTGACTCAGGTTTTGCTTCTATGCAATTTTTGTACAGCACATGGTGATCTAGAAATAACTTTGTTTCCTAACCTGGAAGAGGGACCTACCAATGGAGCTGCAGCCCAGTGGTGACCAACTCAGTTCTTTGTGAGGATACAGGTCTTGTGGCTGCTACACGGTCCTCTCATAGTTACTTACGTATCTCACTATTTACCTGGGGGCCAGTAGCCTTTCCTCATTGGGTTTGGTTGTGGGGGGGGATGAAATTTGGAAGAAAGAAAAAATCATTTTTATACTGTACTACACCAGGTAGCACCCCTCTCACTATAGAATCTTTAGAATCATATCTAGGAGTAATATAGAATGCCACCAGTAGCTGAGTATATCTTTCTTTCCTGGACTCGTCTAGAAATAAAAAATTTTAAAACATTGTCACAGTAAATGGTTGCTCTGTGCCCTTCCCACCTCCAGGACTAAGGTCCAGCTAACTAGTTTCCCTGAATTCCTTCATAAAAGTTACCCAGTTCATACTCCAACAGCATGTCCGTTAAAACCTACTTCTTTTCATTCACTAATTAATGTGCTCATGCAAGCCTGTTGGATTCTCAAGCCACTAAAATGCAAAGCCTCTTTTACCCCCCTCCCTTCATCTATTCTACCTTTATACACCTTCTTCAACAATCTGTCCCTGTCCATCGTCTGTGAATTCCCAGACCACCTTAACAGAGTCTTCTGAACTCTGAATTAAACTTTCGTCACCCCACATTCTTTTTTTAATGTCTACACTCCAAATTTTCTGTGTGATATTACTTTATTTTTTTTTTTTAACACCGGCTGTCTCCCACCGAGACAGAGTGACCTGAAGAAGAAGAAACATTTTGACCATCACTCATTCCATCACTACATATTTTATTACAGATGTGCCAGTACTTCAGTTCAAAACTGCAGCTATCCCCACCCCTCCTTCAGTGTACTTGGCATCTCCCACCATGATAGAATGGCTCAGAGAAAAGGAAACACATTCATCATCATTCATTCAATTACTGTCTTGCCAGAAAAGCACAGAACTTGCAGGGGTCATATAGTACCTGGGGAATGGGGCAGTTAATCAGATTTGATGCAAGGAAGAGGATAGCTCCATTGCTTTGGAGCAAGAGCTCTTAACCCGCCTTGAGGTGCCCTCCTTCGAAACTGGATTACACTTACAGCATGAACCAGAAATACTGTGTACTACATAGAAAAGCTGGAATCACAGCTAAAACATATGGACTGTATCTAACAATTGAATTTCTTGTGTTTACAGAAATTGATGTGTTATTTTGGACGAGCATCGTCAGAGATCAGTGAGCTGTTGAAGAAGAACAGCTTTAATCTTCTTACCACAATCCAAGAACTTCAAGAACTTGACTCGTTTGGCGAGGTGCAAGAACCTCACTCGGATGCTGAGATGCAAGAACCTCCCTCACAGGCTCAGGTGCAAGGACCTCACTCAGACGCTGAGGTGCAAGAAGCTCACTCAGACGCTGAGATGCAAGAACCCACCTCACGGGCTAAGTCACAAGAGCCTCACTTGGAGGCTGGGGCACAAGGGCCCTGCTTGGAGGTCGAGGCACAAGACCCTCACTCAGATGCTGGGGCACAAGAGCTTCTCTCAGAAACTAAGGTAAAGTGTAACAGTGAAATTCATAACCAATCCATAATTGCAGTGGGAACTTTAGGTAGTAGAAAGACACTTGGAACATAACAGAGAAGTGTTTATTGAATGAACCTCTTCATCTGATAAACATTTTGCTTAATGCACCTTTCATTTACTTCTTTTTTATTGCAGAGACGAATTGAAAAAGTTACAGCCACTGGTGCTGATAATTCTGAGACAAAGAGAAAATGGATATGCTCGCAGAACTCAAGACTAAGTGAAGAATTTAACAGTGCTTCAGAGGCAAATATAATTGAACCACCTAACTTGAGTTACCAAGTGAGTACTGTGTATATATCGTCTGCTGATATAGACAGTGTGTGTAGTGTTTTTACACCACTATGCACATCCACCCAGAGAGAGGAAGATGATGTTATCCAAAAACTTTTGAAAGATACAAATAATACTTTAACCACTCCAGTGTCAGGAGGAACAGAAGAGCCAGTGGTGAATTATTCCACAGGGCAAGAGATTCCATCATGCTCACTTGACAGTGATTCTTCTGCCAGCATTGAACTGTTGCAACCTAGGGGAAAAGCTTGTCTTCAGAGTACTGTTTTTGTGAGTATTACTGTATCAAATTATATCAACTAGAATCTTTTTTTCTAATGTTAATGTGGAGTTGTCAGCACTCAGCTCACACACTGAGTGTCCATGGTTCAATCCCTGGAACAGGTGGAAATGTTGGGCATGTTTCCTTACACCTGCTGTCCCTGTTCATCTAGAAGTAAAAGGGTACCTGAGTGTTAGTTGACTGTTGTGGGTCACATCCTGGAGGGTGGTAATATACCTATGATAGAGCTGGGCCTTGAAATGAGCTGAGGTAGGATAACAACTCTTAGTCTGTAAAACTGAAATCTAAGAAAAAAAAGCTCTGGTTATCACTTAATTATTACTGTATTATAAATTGGAAATCATATTCAGAATTTGTTTCTGGCAGTCACTTTTTTTTTTCATTTTATTGGAGGTCAAGCACTAATAATGTTCAAGCATTTTTTTTTTTCTTCCAACAAACCGGCCGTATCCCACCAAGGCAAGGTGGCCCAAAAAGAAAAACAAAACTTTCTCCTTTTAAATTTAGTAATTTATACAGGAGAAGGGGTTACTAAGCCCTTGCTCCTGGCATTTTAGTCGCCTCTTACAACACGCATGGCTTACGGAGGAAGAATTCTGTTCCACTTTCCCATGGAGATAAGAGGAAATAAACAAGAACTAGAATAAAAATAGAAGAAAACCCAGAGGGGTGTGTATATATATATATATATATATATATATTAAAGGTAGTAGGTTGGTAGACAGCAACCGCCCAGGGAGGTACTACCGTCCTGCCAAGTGAGTGTAAAACGAAAGCCTGTAATTGTTTTACATGATGGTAGGATTGCTGGTGTCCTTTTTTCTGTCTCATGAACATGCAAGATTTCAGGTACGTCTTGCTACTTCTACTTACACTTAGGTCACACTACACATACATGTACAAGCACATATATACACACCCCTCTGGGTTTTCTTCTATTTTCTTTCTAGTTCTTATTCTTGTTTATTTCCTCTTATCTCCATGGGGAAGTGGAACAGAATTCTTCCTCCGTAAGCCATGCGTGTCGTAAGAGGCGACTAAAATGCCGGGAGCAAGGGGCTAGTAACCCCTTCTCCTGTATATATTACTAAATTTAAAAGGAGAAACTTCAGTTTTTTCTTTTGGGCCACCCCACCTCAGTGGGATACGGCTGGTACGTTGAAAGAAGAAATATATATTAAAGGTAGTAGGTTGGTAGACAGCAACCGCCCAGGGAGGTACTACCGTCCTGCCAAGTGAGTGTAAAACGAAAGCCTGTAATTGTTTTACATGATGGTAGGATTGCTGGTGTCCTTTTTTCTGTCTCATGAACATGCAAGATTTCAGGTACGTCTTGCTACTTCTACTTACACTTAGGTCACACTACACATACATGTACAAGCACATATATACACACCCCTCTGGGTTTTCTTCTATTTTCTTTCTAGTTCTTATTCTTGTTTATTTCCTCTTATCTCCATGGGGAAGTGGAACAGAATTCTTCCTCCGTAAGCCATGCGTGTTGTAAGAGGCAACTAAAATGCCGGGAGCAAGGGGCTAGTAACCTCTTCTCCTGTATATATTACTAAATGTAAAAGGAGAAACTTTCGTTTTTCCTTTTGGGCCACCCCGCCTCGGTGGGATACGGCCGGTGTGTTGAAAGAAAGAAAGAATATATATATATATATATATGCTTGTACATGTATGTGTAGTGTGACCTAAGTGTAAGTAGAAGTAGCAAGATGTACCTGAAATCTTGCATGTTTAAGAGACAGAAAAAAGACACCAGCAATCCTACCATCATGTAAAACAATTCCAGGCATGTAATGATTTTTTTTGGTCAACGTTTACTTTAGCTGCTTTGAAAATGTGATTTTTTTTTATGTACATCTCCAACAAAAAGTGGGTTGTGCAATGAAATTATTATATTTTGTGTATATGGGGAGAAAACTACTTTGTTAATACTGTACTAGAAAAAAAATATCCCCAACATAATGTGATGTAACCTAAATTTTAAGTTAAATACTGTGCTAGATTAGGTAAGCTTTCTGGTTTAAAAAAAAAACTTTTTTCCTTAGGCCCAAAATAAAGCTCTTCATTGTACATCATATTTAATATTGTAAAATTTACATAATAATATACCAGGCAGCCTAAGTAAAGACTGGTTATGTAATAAACCTACTTGTTATTGTTTAGATACAACACCAATGTTCTGGCACCCTTGGTTCCTAGGCCTTGCCGGAATATCAATTTTGCCGGACCAACAGAGGTCACATAATAATAATTAAACAATACACCTCCAGCCCACCACGGACTGCTAGAAACTTAACTTGAACATTAGTATAAATGAAACGGGTTGATTAATTAATGTACTTGTAAAGAATGATGCAGTACTACAGTTCCCAAAATGATAAATTTTATAATTTTACTGGAATTGTAGAACTAATCACAAAGGTCTGGAAGTTGTGTTGTCAGGATTACTGTCTATTTTGTAGCTGTCTCTTTCATCCTGGATTTGTGATATTAGAGGGACGATGTCTGTGGTACTTGAAGCTGGAGCCACGGGATTTTCAGCTGAAGGCCTACTGCTTTAACACATTCTTCTTGCCTATCTTTTTAAATATTTCATTCCAGCAAAGTTGATTCATGTACTTTGATCTTTCCCTGTGTAATTTTTCATGCATCAAATAAAAATTCATTAGCTCTTGTTCTGTCACAAAGGAATGTTGTTCTAGCCATTTAATAATTCACATGACAACTCAGTTAACTTGTCAATAACCAAAGCTACTGACAAGTAAAATTGTATAGCTATTAATGCTAACCATAGCTAGGGTTAATTGTTTGCAAAATATGTGAAGAATCACAAAATTAAGGAATCACCACCAACAACTGCAATGTAAACAACATAAATGAGCATGCTTCGCTGCACACTGGTGGCCACCCAGTAAGCTAGTCTGGCCAAGAATTAGTCTTGTAGTTTTATCCAGGCTGAAAGAGGTGTTGGACCATCTGTTGCCAGAAAAATCTGTGTTGCACCTGTACACACAAAGTATAAATTATCACCTAACTTGTCCAAGCAGCTCAAGTTAATGTCCATTTTTTTTATATAAATCTCTTACATATGTCTCCCTCATAGTGGGGACCTTCTTTGATGGTTAAGGGCTCTTGATCCAAGGAATTTTAGCTACCTCTCCTTTGTATGAAACCTGAATTCCTCCCATTACAAAAGTGCTGTATGACTTATAGATTTAGCAGTTCCCTAGGATTATAATAATGCTAAATGCACTACTTTTGTTTGCCTTTATAAAATATAAATCCTAGTATGCAGTTGTCCCAGCATGCAAGTACTGTACTTGCTAAAATGTTTCTGTATACTGCCAGCAAAGATGGAGTTTAGAAGAAGCTCTCAGGTGAAATTAGTTTAAAAATACTAGTGCCTCAGTGTCATTGTGAATGCATGAGGGAGAGGAAATTTGCTTAACTGGTGTGACTAACTTCAGACAGAACATTAATGGGCCTAGTTGCCCATTAATATTCTGCCTAGTTTAGCTGGACAATGATCAGGCATTGATTTTATGAGGTTTAATTGGAAATGTTTCTTGCACTTAAACTTGCAAATCTTTCCCTTAATCAAAATTACATTGAAATAAGAGTTTGAATTTCTTTTAGAGATCTAAATGTGGCTGGTCCTAAGCCTGATTAATTATAACCTTGATTAGAGTGGTTATCCTCTTGTTGATCAGCAAGGTCTTGGCACTTGTGCATATTTCTTGTGGTATAACTACCCAAGAGAACCTTAAATTTATTGAGGAGGATCTCATTGCTGGAGACTTGTTCAGCTGTTGACTTAAAGAGGGCTATTGTTTACATGTGTGCTTTGTCAATAAATCTCTGCTTTCATTGTATTTGATTTGGAAGATTGATATGTCTCCCCAAAGATCTCTGTTAAGGAGCTTCTAGTTTATGGGATACCATATTTGTTGAATCCTCCTTAAGAGTTCATGCAGAATTCAGTATTTACAGAGCCTTGAAAATTTCTGGTCAGAGTGATTACTATGTACCAGACTTAGTTAATATAAATCTTAAAGGACGAATACAAATTTCAAGGTAGATGAACACTGAAAATGAGTCACTTATGTGAAGATATTTTGTAGGCCTAGAATCCAAAAATGTAATATTGTATATCTGTTTACAGGTGCTGCAGTTTTGGTTTACAGGGACGCTTGTGGAGAAGCTTGAAATTTTGATAAAGAATAAATTCAATATTGTTAGCACAATCCACGAGCTTCAGACCCTTTACGCTGAGGTAGAGGGCGCACCAGGTAATACTGAAAGGGAACCAAGAAGTTCAGGAGAGTAGGCAAGGTCCTAAGTATTTGTAACTATCTGGTGTACGCACCTATTTGTACTCACTTATTTGTGGTTGCAGGGGTCGAGTCCTAGCTTCTGGACCCGCCTCTTCACCTGTTGCTACTGGGTCCTCTCTCTTCCCGCTCCATGAGCTTTATCATACCTCGTCTTAAAACTATGTATGGTGTGTGTGTGTGTGTGTGTTGTAATATATATGTGGTTGCAGGGTTCAAGTCACAGCTCCTGGCCCTGAGTCATTGGGTGTATTTGTCTCTTTATACTTGTGTGCTTGTATGTACTAACCTATATGTGGTTGCAGGGGTTGATTCATAGCTCCTGGCCCCACCTCAGTGTGTATTCACCTAATTGTACTCGTCTAATTGTGGCTGCAGGGGTCAATTCACAGCTCCTGGCCCTGCCTCTTCACTAGTTGCTACTAGGTCTACTCTCACCTTGCTCCATGAGCCTTATCATACCTCTTCTTAAAGCTATGTATGGATCCTACATCCACTACATCACTTTCCAGACTATTGCACTTCCTGACAACTATCATTAAAGAAATACTTCCTAACATCCCTGTGACTCATCTAAGTCTTCAGCTTCTAGTTGTGACCCCTTGTTGCTGTGTCCCATCTCTGGAACATCCTGTTTCTGTCTACCTTGTCAATTCCTCTCAGTATTCTACATGTCATTATCATGTCCCTCTATCCCTCGTGTCCTCCAGTGTGTGTGTGTGTGTGTGTGTGTGTGTGTGTGTGTGTGTGTGTGTGTGTGTGTGTGTGTATGTGTTTGTGTTTGTGTGTGTTCATATTCCTGAGTATTGATTAGAGCTGTGAGTGTGATTTTTGTGCCAAAGTTGTAATTGATAATTTGTTAATTAATAATTTGATAATTGAAGAATACACTGTGAGACCCCTCTTTAGTTCACCAATATTTTTGCATGGACAGTACAAACAATTGTGATTGTGTTGACATTTTTGTCTTGTTTCAAGCATTTATTTAGTGATAAATTCTTTAAACAAAAATTTTGGCTTGAGTATATGCCTAAGCCTTTGGTTTTGTGTCAAGTTTTACATAAATTGCATGAGAAATATTGTAAGAAAAATTATGGACTGGAGTATATTCCTAAGCCTTTGGTTTTGGGCCAAGTTTTTACACAAAGTGCACGAGATATATTAACAGCACACATTTTGAACTGTTAACACGCACAAAAAAAAAAAAAAATTGTTCGTGTTTTTTCTTTCAAAAAGAACACGCACAATTTTTTTTACGTTGAAAATGTTTATAATTTTTTTTTTAAATAATGAAGAACAATTATTAGTTTGATATGCTCTATTTACTACAGTCGTGGCATTTCATGTATAGCTGGTTTTCCTAATGCGCATTACAGTAGTATTTTAAATTATAAAATAAAAAAAAGGTCTGCAATGATATTATTTTTTTACTTGTTTAATGCTACAGCTATTTCCCACCAAAGTAAGAGTATTATTAAATTCAACCCTCTCATAATACATTAGTTGTGTTTGTGAAATTTTGGATGTTGTGTAAAAATAGCATGTAATGTGAAAAATGTGGGAAAAATAGGGGTGTCATGTTTTAGACACCTCCAAATTTGCCAAATACATTTTTATTTGCCATTGTACAGTGCTAGGTAAAAATTGAATGAAGTATATAACTGGCTTCGCATTCTGTTAGTCATTACCTAAAATATTTAACCCTTAAACAGTCCAAACAGATCGACGTTCAAATTCATAGTGCTACAAAAGTAGATCTACTTTTTTTTATATATTTTCAAATATAAAAAAAAAAGTAGATAAAAGTTTTTTTTACACATTTTCAAATGTAAAACAAAAAAGAAGATCTACATTTTTTTACATGCTTTCAGATGTTGAAAAAACGTATATATACGTTTGGACCATTTAAGGGTTAAAGAGTGTGGGAGGAAGGGGGGGCAAACTTGTTCCAACTAGGTTGAGTCAGATGCAGAAATTTTAATTAATATAAAGCCTCTTCTCACCCAATGACTGAGTTCCGTTCCTAAGACCTCATAGGTAAACGAATTCGTCGGTAAGTGAGGAGCACATTATAATGGTAGTGGGTTTGTGTCAACTATCTTTGATATTGTTTTAGTGCCACCTTTGCACCATTTATAGCATTTCTGGTATATTTTTAAATGTTTATACAGTAGTGTATTGTAATAAACAGAATAGAGGAAATCAGCTCTAGCATACATTATTTAGGTATGAATACTGGTCAGAGAGCCTGTCTTAAGTCTGAGTCGTCGGTAAACGAGTACATCACTAAGTGGGAAGAGGTTGTATATATGTTAATGAATCAGAACAGCACTACAATGCAGCATACAGAACTGATGTGTAGAGGCAGGCAACAGCTGGACTGTCTTGAGAAGGGAAAAGAGATAGTTAATATGTAGTGTGGGAAGGTAGTGGTGTACAAAGGTAGTGGTAGAACAGACCAGAGATTATTATTTACCTAAACATTCCAGTACAACCATCATCTACTGATGTCTTGGCACCCACATCAATATATAACCACAGACATCCATACACAAATAACCCGCACATAGGAGTAAGAAACTCATGACGTTTTGGTCCGACTTGGACCATTAACTTTATTTTCTTATTAACATATTGGCTGTCTCCCACCAAGGCAGGGTGGGAGACCATTAACTAGTGTGATTAATTAGTGGTCCGAGTTGAACTGACACGTTGACATAGGTTTCTTTTTTCTGTGTGTGGGTTATTTGTGTAGTGTTTCAGTCATGGTATTGTGCCTTTTCATTCTTCACAGACATTCATCTCAGCCCATGAGGGCCATATCAACCTTCTCCTAACATTTCCATGTCAAGCAACAACACCTAGAATGTAAGATAAAATGTAGCAGATTTTTTATTTAACACTGGCCATCTGCCAAGGCAGGGTGACCTTATAAAGAAAACACATTCATCATCATTCATCAGATTTTACAGTTGAAATGACCTCTCTAAATTGCAATATCTCCACACCATCAGAGTGCGTGCATAGTACTTCTCGACTCCAGGACTAAAGTCTGGTTTATCTGTTTCTAAAATGTTGCCTGTCTTACATTCTAAAAGTGCTTAAAGCCATAAAAACTACTTGCCTCCACTTTGATCTAACATACTTGAACAAGCCTGCTAAATGCTCAAGATGCTGGCACTAAAAATCTCCTGTACCCTCTCTATTAACCCTGGAATGACCCCTGCTCTTATTTTCACCCCCAGCTTTATGTACCTTCATAGTCATTCTGTTCTGCTTCATCCTCTCTAAATGCCCAAAATACCACAACAACCCATCCTCAGTCCTGTGAATTATACCTTTGATAACTCCACACAGTCCTTTAATTTCTTGCTTGTGAGCTCTCTGCAGAACATTCATTCCAGTCACTCTTCTGAAAACAGGACATATACTTTGTATTTATCTTCTGCCTCCTCACTGCAATCCCTCACACTCATATAAAGTGTAGGTGCTTCTACTCTATAGTTATATTTTTTTATTATCACACCGGCCGATTCCCACCAAGGCAGGGTGGCCCGAAAAAGAAAAACTTTCACCATCATTCACTCCATCACTGTCTTGCCAGAAGGGTGCTTTACACTACAGTTTTTAAACTGCAACATTAACACCCCTCCTTCAGAGTGCAGGCACTGTACTTCCCATCTCCAGGACTCAAGTCCGGCCTGCCGGTTTCCCTGAATCCCTTCATAAATGTTACTTTGCTCACACTCCAACAGCACGTCAAGTATTAAAAACCATTTGTCTCCATTCACTCTATCAAACACGCTCAAGCATGCCTGCTGGAAGTCCAAGCCCTCGCACACAAAACCTCCTTTACCCCCTCCCCCCACCCTTCCTAGGCCGACCCCCACCCCGCCTTCCTTCCACTACAGACTGTACACTCTTGAAGTCATTCTGTTTCGCTCCATTCTCTCTACATGTCGAACCACCTCAAAACCCTTCCTCGCCCTTGGACAACAGTTTTGGTTTAAACCCGCACCCTCCTAACTTCCAAACTACGAATTTTTCTGCATTATATTCACACCACACATTGCCCTCAGGGCATGACATCCCCCACTGCCTCCAGCCTTCTCCTCGCTGCAAAAATTCATCACCCACGCTTCACACCCATAAAGAGCGTTGGTAAAACTATACTCTCCTACATTCCCCCCTTTGCCTCCAAGGACAAAGTTCTTTGTCTCCACAGACTCCTAAGTGCACCACTCACTCTTTTTCCCTCATCAATTCTATGATTCACCTCATCTTTCATAGACCCATCCCCTGACACGTCCACTCCCAAAAATCTGAATACGTTCACCTCCTCCATACTCTCTCCCTCCAATCTGATATTCAATCTTTCATCACCTAATCTTTTTGTTATCCTCATAACCTTACTCTTTCCTGTATTCACCTTTAATTTTCTTCTTTTGCACACCCTACCAAATTCATCCACCAATCTCTGCAACTTCTCTTCAGAATCTCCCAAGAGCACAGTGTCATCAGCAAAGAGCAGCTGTGACAACTCCCACTTTGTGTGTGATTCTTTATCTTTTAACTCCACGCCTCTTGCCAAGACCCTCGCATTTACTTCTCTTACAACCCCATCTATAAATATATTAAACAACCACGGTGACATCACACATCCTTGTCTAAGGCCTACTTTTACTGGGAAAAAATTTCCCTCTTTCCTACATACTCTAACTTGAGCCTCACTATCCTCGTAAAAACTCTTCACTGCTTTCAGTAACCTACCTCCTACACCATACACTTGCAACATCTGCCACATTGCCCCCTATCCACCCTGTCATACGCCTTTTCCAAATCCATAAATGCCACAAAGACCTCTTTAGCCTTATCTAAATACTGTTCACTTATATGTTTCACTGTAAACACCTGGTCCACACACCCCCTACCTTTCCTAAAGCCTCCTTGTTCATCTGCTATCCTATTCTCCGTCTTACTCTTAATTCTTTCAATTATATACTCTACCATACACTTTACCAGGTACACTCAACAGGCTTCTCCCCCTATAATTTTTGCACTCTCTTTTATCCCCTTTGCCTTTATACAAAGGAACTATGCATGCTCTCTGCCAATCCCTAGGTACCTTACCCTCTTCCATACATTTATTAAACAATTGCACCAACCACTCCAAAACTATATCCCCACCTGCTTTTAACATTTCTATCTTTATCCCATCAATCCCGGCTGCCTTACCCCCTTTCATTTTACCTACTGCCTCACGAACTTCCCCCACACTCACAACTGGCTCTTCCTCACTCCTACAAGATGTTATTCCTCCTTGCCCTATACACGAAATCACAGCTTCCCTATCTTCATCAACATTTAACAATTCCTCAAAATATTCCTTCCATCTTCCCAATACCTCTAACTCTCCATTTAATAACTCTCCTCTCCTATTTTTAACTGACAAATCCATTTGTTCTCTAGGCTTTCTTAACTTGTTAATCTCACTCCAAAACTTTTTCTTATTTTCAACAAAATTTGTTGATAACATCTCACCCACTCTCTCATTTGCTCTCTTTTTACATTGCTTCACCACTCTCTTAACCTCTCTCTTTTTCTCCATATACTCTTCCCTCCTTGCATCACTTCTACTTTGTAAAAACTTCTCATATGCTAACTTTTTCTCCCTTACTACTCTCTTTACATCATCATTCCACCAATCGCTCCTCTTCCCTCCTGCACCCACTTTCCTGTAACCACAAACTTCTGCTGAACACTCTAACACTACATTTTTAAACCTACCCCATACCTCTTCGACCCCATTGCCTATGCTCTCATTAGCCATCTATCCTCCAATAGCTGTTTATATCTTACCCTAACTGCCTCCTCTTTTAGTTTATAAACCTTCACCTCTCTCTTCCCTGATGCTTCTATTCTCCTTGTATCCCATCTACCTTTTACTCTCAGTGTAGCTACAACTAGAAAGTGATCTGATATATCTGTGGCCCCTCTATAAACATGTACATCCTGAAGTCTACTCAACAGTCTTTTATCTACCAATACATAATCCAACAAACTACTGTCATTTCGCCCTACATCATATCGTGTATACTTATTTATCCTCTTTTTCTTAAAATATGTATTACCTATAACTAAACCCCTTTCTATACAAAGTTCAATCAAAGGGCTCCCATTATCATTTACACCTGGCACCCCAAACTTACCTACCACACCCTCTCTAAAAGTTTCTCCTACTTTAGCATTCAAGTCCCCTACCACAATTACTCTCTCACTTGGTTCAAAGGCTCCTATACATTCACTTAACATCTCCCAAAATCCTCTCTCTCTCCTCTGCATTCCTCTCTTCTCCAGGTGCATACACGCTTATTATGACCCACTTCTCGCATCCAACCTTTACTTTAATCCACATAATTCTTGAATTTACACATTCATATTCTCTTTTCTCCTTCCATAACTGATCATTTAACATTACTGCTACCCCTTCCTTTGCTCTAACTCTCTCAGATACTCCAGATTTAATCCCATTTATTTCCCCCCACTGAAACTCTCCTACCCCCTTCAGCTTTGTTTCGCTTAGGGCCAGGACATCCAACTTCTTTTCATTCATAACATCAGCAATCATCTGTTTCTTGTCATCCGCACTACATCCACGTACATTTAAGCAACCCAGTTCATTTCCTTTATTCTTTCCATAAATTAACTTCTTTCTTTCCAAATTTGGAGGTCTTTGAAGCACATCCCTTCCCATGTGTGTTCTTCACATCCCATACCACTAATTGCCATGTGGTATCAGTTCTCAGGAACATATCCCCTTTGTTATAGTAGGGTTTACTGTATATGTAATTGGTATTTAATATAATATGTACTGTGCTCCTAAAATTAGGGTGTTAATTTTAATTTGTTTATTTACTGTATTAATATACATGTACTTCTAAATATATTTCAGGGTTGTCTAAAACTGATCAATATATTTGTATTCAGTATCATAGAATACAGTATTTTTTTTTTTTTTAAATATTGCACAGTAACTATTTTTCAGATGTACTTTAAAGATAATGGTAAAAATTGGGTCTTCCATGTTTTAATGTAGAAACCCATGTTTGGTTTATATATTCTAATTTAAAATATTTCTAAGCAACAATAAAATGTGTATTTACTGTTATCTTTTATTTCCTTTGTGTAAAATAAGGTTGCTCATTGACAGTGGCCCTTCAAGGGGGAGTGCTTAGGTGTTGATAAAGGGTTGTTGGTCCATGGTTTGATCTCCAGTATGGGTGGGAACATTCTGACATGTTTCCTTAAGATACCTGCTGTCCATATTCAGCTATCAGTAAAATAGGTATCTGGGTGTTAGTCGACTGGTGTGAGTTGCATACTGGGGACAAAATTGACCTAAATGCTCTGCATAACAAAGGCCTTTGCATATAGTAGTATGTGACTGATGTCAGCTAGGCCTGTATACATTGTACGTACACTTGTAGAAATAAAGATTACTATTACTACTATAGGAGTTGCTGTCCCTTTACGTGGATCCAAGCTGATTACCATCTGTTTCCCAAATGCTTATATGGCCTTGGCACTTCACCCTATGTGGTAATTACTTAGACTGTGTGATTTAGTTTGGATAGTGTAAATAACTTGTCGAATAATTGTGATTATTCTGTACAGTAGGGCCCCACTTTATGGTGTTTTGTCTTACGGCGCTCCGCAAATACGGACATTTCAAATTATGACCAAAACCCACTATATGGCTCCCTCACCTGACTTTCTAGTACGGTCACCGCGCCCCACCCGGTTTGTTTACATTTTCCATGAGCACTGCGTCTCTCCATTATATCTGGAAACTTTCCAAAATTTCAAGTGTTTTCAAGTTATTTCATGTTTTATATATACGTACTCTGATAATTATACTTGTGTACCTGTGTCTAAATAATCTTACACACTGTGCTGGTATGAATGCACACTTTAAAATCATTAAGAGTGTCTTATTAGTCTTGCGGACGCCATATTAACCCTTAAACAGTCCAAACAGATCGACGTTCAAATTCGTAGTGCTACAAAAGTAGATCTACTTTTTTTTACATATTTTCAAATATAACAAAAAAAAAATGTAGATAAAAGATTTTTTACACGTTTTCACATGTAAAACAAAAAAAAAAAGATCTACATTTTTTTACATACTTTCAGATGTTGAAAAAACGTATATATACGTTTGGACCATTTAAGGGTTAATAATGATTATAATAATATGACCCCTTTATGGGGGTCATCCTCGAAAAGGTTGGAAGGAAGGGGTAAGGGAGGTTTTGTGGGCGAGGGGCTTTGACTTCCAGCAGGCGTGCGTGAGCGTGTTCGATAGGAGTGAATGGAGACAAATGGTATTTGGGACCTGACGATCTGTTGGAGTGTGAGCAGGGTAATATTTAGTGAAGGGATTCAGGGAAACTGGTTATTTTTATATAGCCGGACTTGAGTCCTGGAAATGGGAAGTACAATGCCTGCACTCTAAAGGAGGGGTTCGGGATATTGACAGTTTGGAGGGATATGTTGTGTATCTTTATACGTATATGCTTTTAAGCTGTTGTGTTCTGAGCACCTCTGCAAAAACAGTGATTATGTGTGAGTGAGGTGAAAGAGTTGAATGATGATGAAAGTATTTTCTTTTTGGGGATTTTCTTTCTTTTTGGGTCACCCTGCCTTGGTGGGAGATGGCCGACTTGTTAAAAAAAAAAAAAAAAAAAAAAATACGCAATAATAATCACTGAGGCGCATTAAATGTT